GCAGAGATACCAGTAGTAGCACCAGCAGCACATTGTTCAGCAGCTGCAAGACTGGTGTCCACCGTAAGATCCGCAATCTCAACTGTGGCCCCGGTTCCATCACAAACCACTTTGATTGTGAGGGTGGAGGTACTGGAGGTACTGGAGGATGAACTACTTAAGCAGGTCGAAAAATGGGCCGACGAACCTGTTGGGACGGTCAGACTGTCGAGGAGATCGTTGCCCTGATAAATGCTCAACGCGCAGGAGACACCACTACGCTTGCGCTTGGTGGCAGCCGAATCGGACACCGAGATTGTGCCCGAGACTGCGGCATCATCGGAGGTGTCGACAGACTGTGATGCCTCCAGAGATGTCCCAGCGGTGGTATCAGCCGTGAGCGTGGTGCCATTGTCATCGGTCGTAGCGGTCGTGTCAGAAGACGTCGACCAGGTGGCTGTAGAAGCACTGCTGGCAGTGGATGAAGCAGCCGGGGTAGGAGAACTCAATGTGCTCAAGGCAGTAGTCAAGGAGCCCAGCGAATCGTCACTGCTGGTGGTGCTCACGGCGCTCGACGTGCTGTCTACCGTGTCCGAGCAAGCGCTGACCATGGAAATGTCGGCCAGGCCAATGACCGGGTTCCCGTTGGAAGCTCCCTGGGAGCAACTGATGGTGATCACAAAAGGAATCCCAGTGGAAGAAGTGGGGGTGTACGTCCCAGAGACACTCGACCAGCCACTGGATCGGCCAGCCACGAGGGCAGCAGATGCGGCAGTGAAGGAATTGCCTTCGACGGCGACTGCAATGGTACAGGAGGCTCCGGTCGAGTCGTCCGTCGTGATGGACCAGCCTAGGGAGACATGATAGGAGGTGCCCACTTGCACCGAGGGAATGTTTTGGCGCACAATCACCCAGCTATAGCTGAAGTCGTCGATCTCGCTGCAATATGGTTAGGGTTCGCCGGCAGCTAGGCATTGGCTATGCACACTTACAGGTAGGCACCGCCATCGGGACCCCCAGTATCGACCACCGAAAAGGTCTTCAGGGTAGGGCCGGCACTCGTACTCCAGAAGGAAGTATACGCAGAAGATCCTCCTTGAATGACATCGGTGCCCGTACAGGCCGCAGCCATCGGGATCAACGGCATCAAGCCCGCTCCGAAGAGCAGGGTACGAAGAGGCGCCATTGTGTACTAAGTACCTGTCTATCCATATTGAAGAGAGGAGGAACTGCGCTGAACATATATTCAAGACCCGTTCAAGCTCTCATGGTCGCCCTCGTATCCTTTTCTTGGGTCCTTTGTGGCATCGGGATGGATCGCATTCACTAGAGGCGCAAAGAAGGCGAGTTTAGGCGATGGCGGGGGGGCGCCTCCCACCATGCAGCAATTTATGCCGACCATGACCAGGTTTGCCCCTGAAAGCTCACGGTCAAGTCCGAAGCGATGACAATGCACTGGATCTTGCCCTACTTCAGCTTGATTAGGTTTCTCGATCCTTGCTGTGCCCCACCGAATCCAGGGGAAGGGGAACTTCCCAGCCAATGCTCCTTCTACTCCTTCTGCTGCTGAAGGTCGGACACTTCACCCGACACGACTCACAACGAGGTGGGGAAGTCTCCTTGCCAATATTTCATACTTATACTCCGTACATGAACGTACCGTATACACAGAGCAGAATATGCATTATGTCGAATGGTCTGGTCTGGTCGCTACTGCGATGGCACTGACTACATACCTCCCTCCAGCCTATCCCGGGCTCTTTCTCTCCCGTTTAGCACTCACTACGCTCTATCTTCTGGGGCAGAACCCACACAACATGCTTCATAGACCAAGTTTCGACTAGAATCTATGCATCGGGGTCATACCATCTCTATCCATGTGGTTTTGAAGGATTATTATCGCTCCAGCAAAATCGCGACCGGAGGGAGACGAAGCCATCGTTGGGGACGTCTAGACGGTGGCGGCGGACTTAGGGTTTCCGCGAGGTCCTCATTCAATGTGTTGTGCCAGTCAACGTCAACCACCTCTGAAGACGACGCAGGAAGGAACTCGCTCACCGGAATATTCTTGCTGCATGGCTTGTGTTAATTATGCCCAGGAATGATCTCCTTGCCATGCCACCGAACGAGCTGCCAGTGCCAGGTGGTCTGATCCCCACGCCCACGGTCGCCGTTGAAACCTCATGTGGAGCCAGAAAGTCATCTGGAGAACGGACGTTGGCTGTCTCGCTTGCCTCGGCTTACGGAGGCAGTGATTAGGCCATTAGGCCCAGGCTAAGGCTGCCGATCATTCTGGCCTCCAATGAGGCTGTTCATCGAACTGCTTGATGGGGCATGCAGTCAGATTCTAGTCGAATCATCCTGTCATGGTGGACCACGGCTGAATGCTTAGGAAGAGTCAGTCAAGCAGGGATCAATCTGAGGTCAGCAACACCAACACCATTAATTAAAACTTGTCTGCGTCTGCTCTTAAAAGGTGAACACAGCCTTCTTCATCCACCACTGCTTCATCTTCTTTCGACCACTACATCTCCTGCCAGGTGCCATGGTGTTCTTTCCGCCCAAGTGGGTAGGCCAATTGCCTCCCATCCCCGACACGGTGCCCCTCTGCGACTTCATGCTCGACGAGCGATACGGTCGCGCCCCCATCGACCAGTCTCCCGCTCCGTACGTTTGCAGTGTCACCGGCCAGGGTTACTCTCCGGCCGAGATCGGCGAGCGGGTGGATTACATGGCTCGGGCCCTATCCTGTGAATTGGGCTGGGAGCCCACCACCGGGGCAGCAGAAGACAAAGTCATTGGGATTTTCAGTCTGAACACGGTGAGTCAAGTTTCCCGGGAGTCTGTTACGGCGCATGCTGACTGGCGGTGTCTGGAAAAGATCGACACGATGCCTTTGTCCTGGGCAGTGCATCGATTGTCGGGAATAGTCTCGCCCGCCAACGCTGCGTATTCGGCCTCGGACTTGGCCTATCAGCTGAAGGACTCCAAGGCGACGGTGCTTTTCACGTGTCTGCCCTTGCTGTCCACCGCGCTGGAAGCAGCTGCGCAGGTTGGGATTGCCCGTCAGCGTGTCTACGTGCTAGAGACGCCCGTCGAACCGGGCCAGACGCCCCCAGCCGGAGCATCGGAGTTCAAGACGATATCACAATTAGTGGCAGAGGGCCAGAAGCTGCCTCCAGTGGCCCCGTTGAAATGGCAGGCTGGGCAAGGTCGCCGTCAGCCAGCATTCCTATGTTATTCCAGCGGTACTTCCGGGCTACCGGTAGGTTCCCTCGGACCGCCAGACCCTCGTTTCCAGGGCACTCACTCTAACTACTCTCTCCACAGAAAGGCGTGATGATCTCCCACTACAACATGATGGCCAACATTCTCCAATTCAAGCAGTACGATGAATCCTCGGGGATGCGTACCAAGGGCAAATCCGAGGTGACGAGCTGTGTCTTACCCATGAGCCACGCCTACGGACTAAACTACGTCGCTCACTACGCGGCCTATCGCGGCGACCAGACGGTGGTGTTCGCGCGCTTCCAGCTAGAGAGCCTCCTGGAGGCGACGCAACGCTTCAAGATCACCTATCTCCTCCTGGTGCCCCCGATCGTACTGCGCATCGCCAAGAGCCAGGAGCTGTGCCGACAGTACGATCTCAGTAGCGTGGTGGGACTCTTCACTGGGGCAGCTCCGCTGGGCGAGGAGGTCGAGGCAGCAGTGCGAGAGCAATATCCCGCCATGAATGTCGGTCAGGGCTATGGTGAGTGCTAAGCACCACGAGGATACATCCCCATCCACCACTGACCCAGTGTCATCCACTAGGAATCACCGAAGCCACCACCGTAGTCGGCCTTACCCCCATCATCGATCAATGGGCCGGCTCCGTTGGCTGTCCGATGCCCGGCTCGCAGTGGAAGCTCCTCGACCCCGATGGCAGCGAAATCACCTCCTACGACACCCCAGGCGAGGTCGTCATCTCTGGCCCCAACGTGACGATGGGATATCTCAACAACCCCACAGCCACCGCCGAATCCTACCGGGACGGATGGTACCATACGGGCGACGTAGGCGTGATGCGGCTGAGCCCCCAGGGCAACGAGCATCTCTTCATCATCGATCGGATCAAGGAATTGATCAAAGTCAAGGGGTTGCAGGTGGCCCCCGCCGAATTGGAGGCGCACTTGTTGGCGCATCCCGCCGTGGGCGATTGCGCCGTCATCCCCGTGCCCGATCCCGAGGCCGGCGAACTGCCCAAGGCGTTTGTCGTCAAGTCCGCGCAGGCCGGACCAGATGATGCAGCCACCGTCCAGGCGATTGTCGCGCATGTGCAGGAGACCAAGGCCCGGCATAAGTGGCTCAAGGGCGGCGTCGAGTTTGTGGATCTCATCCCCAAGAGTCCCAGTGGGAAGATCCTGCGCCGGTTGCTGCGAGATCGGGAGAAGAGATCACGGCAGGCGAGGCTTTAAGTGGAGGGGTGGTGTATTTGACAGAATACGTAGTAAGAATGTGTGAGACGTGCCAGACAGAGCAGAAACGAAAGAAAAAGCAAAAATGAATGACCTACGCAGGGCTCGAACCTGCAATCTCTTGATTCGTAGTCAAGCGCCTTACCATTGGGCCAGCAGGCCAGCTGATGAAGAATGCTCCTTTTCTCAATTATCTTATCCAAAAACACGCAAAATCTGCTCTTCTGCAGTTTATCCCTGGCATCGCCCTAATCACAAGTATTTGACATTAGGCTGACACGTCCCTTTTGGCTCCCAGACTAGAAAAGGATACCGAGGCGTGGAGGCATTGTTTAGGATAGCTTCTACGCACATCCATTTTTCCCGGCTGCGACCAGCGAGATCGGATGTATATCTCCACCATCCTTTGTCCCACGAGGTTTTCGCTGTGCTGTACAACAACCGGCAACTCGTGATTTAACACACATCGGTTGCATTGTTAAAGCATATATTAAAGAGATTATATCACTAGTATACAGGAATCTCAGATCTAAAATAAACAAAAGTATGCAGAGAGTGGATCTCTCAATCAGTAGGGCAAGCCTTGGCGCTCTTCGACGTCTTGGTCACAGTCTCTGTCTCGGTGACCGTCTGACTGATAGTAGACGTGCGAGTGCTGGTCGCCCGCTGTGTGACTGTCACCGAGGGTTCAAGACTGACAGTGGTTGTCTTCAGCACCGTAGTGGTAGGAATCGCCAGAGTGACGGTCTCCTTAATCGTGGTCACGGTGGCCTTGGTCTTAGTGATCGTACTCTGGGGCAAGGTGACGGTCGACTTGAAGGTGGTGGTCTTCAGGCTGGTGACGGTCACTGTCGCTCCCGGCACGGACACAGTCGAGGTCTTGGTGGCCGCTGACGTGATCGTGTCGGTGACCGTGCTGGCCTTGAGCGTAGTAGTCTTCGCAACCACCTTAGTGCTGCTCTCGGTCAAAATGACGGTGACGGCCTTGACAGTTTCTGTGGTCACCTTGGTCGTGAGCGACACACTGGTGATGGTGCTAGTGGAGGCCTTGAGCGTCGTGGTCTTGCCGGTAGTCTTGATCGTTGTGGATGTGACATAGACCGTGGGCGAGGCAAGCGCGTCAGTCGAAGTCTTGACATAGGTCGTCAGGGTGGTGTACTGAGTGACAGTGGCCGCATTCACCGCCGCCCGGGGCAGGATCAGAGCGCGCTTGGCGTTGGCGGCGGGAATACAGCTGAGTGTAGTGGTGACACTCTTCGTGGTGGTCTTGGTGGAGGTCACGTCCACGGTGGTGGTGGTGGCCTTGGTGCTCTTCGTGGTAGTACCGCCGCTGCCCTCGGTGACGGTGGTGTATGAGGTGACCTTGACGGTGCCAGGAGTCGAGGTCTTGACGCTGGTCGTCGTGCTAGCCACGGTCTCGGTGATTGTCTTAGCCTTAGCAGACGAGGTGATGGTGCTGGTGGCGGTGACCGTGCTCTTGACCGTGGTGGTGACATCGCCCTCGGTGACGGTAGCCGTGATCGTCGTGGTATCTTTGACGGTGGTCGTCTTGGTGCTAGCAGGAGCCGTGATGGTCTCGATATCCGAACTGGTGATCACCGTCGATTTGATGCTCGTTACGGTCGGCTCGACGATGGTCGTGGTGCTGGAGATGGTGGTCTTCTCGACTGTGGTCTTGAAAGACTCAGCCAGAGTCACGGTAGTGCCAATGTCCTGCGTGACTGTCACCTTGACCGTGGAAGTCCGATCAGCAGGGGTAAGGGTGGTGAACGCCGTCTCCTTATCAGTGACAGTCACAAGGGTAGTGAAAGTCGCCGTGGGAGTCGCCGTGACCAGCACGGAAGTGCTGGGGATCACGCCGGTGCTGGTAACTGGCAGGGTAGTGGAGTTGCCCGGCACGAACGGAGTGCCATCAACCAGAGTGAAGTTGATCCAGGATGTCGAGGCAAAGAAATTCGTGAGCTCAAACTGGGCAACTGTACTGGCATCCAGGACCGTTGCAAACGACGCCCGATCGGCGGTGGACGATCCAGGACCATAGTTCTGGTATTCACCGAACAGAACACCGTCCGTCTGCGGACTGCTCGAGGACCACTGCTCCCAACCAGCCGCCTCAACGCAGGAATCAAGGTACGATTCGACATAAGCCACGCGAGCGTAGTTGTTCCAGGGGCGACCCAACGAGATCTCGGACATGCTGCCGGCTCCAGAAGCTGGGGTAATGGTGCACTGGTCGAAGACAAAGCCACCAACCGTGGTGCTGGTAGTGCGCTTGTCGGCCGTCAAGTTGATGCCATCTTCGTTAGGAGAGATGGTCGAGTTGAGGAAGTAACCAGATCCAGAACCCCAAATCATATCGATATTACCCTCAATGTAGCTGTTGCTGGCGAAGAAGTAGCCGTTGATCAACAGCGCATCCTGATTGCCCGTCACCTGACACCCATAGAGCGAGGCGTACTTGCTCGACTTCACGGCAAACCCGAGGGAGGCGTAGTTCTTGGTGGTCCCGTAATTGTTCACAAAATTGATGTTGACTGCCTGGAAGTAATTGCCCGTAGCATATACGGTGGCGCTGTCCGAGTTGGACTCGTCGGCCTGTGTGTCCACACCGTGGTTGTACTGGATTGTTACCTGGTTGCTCGAGTAATCGAGATGGTTGTCCGAATATCCCATAAAGATCGTAGTACCGGAACGGTTGACCACCAACTGCTCCTCGTACGTGCCAGGGTAGATAAACACGGTGGGTGTGACCTTGCTAGAAGTGGGCAGAGCGTTAAGTGCACTTTGGATAGTATCATAGGTCGTCACGTTGGCGATAGCCGTTTTCGAGACAATGTAAGCCCCTGCCGGAGGAGTGGTTCCGTCATAGACCGTGGTTGAGTTTGAACCAGTGGTAGTTGTAGTTGTGGATGCAGGCTCGGGCGTCACAATGGTATTCCAGTAAGTCATATCGATCCAGTCAGTCGACCCCATGACCTCGGCCAACGTGTAAGTATCCGAGGTCAACAACGTACAGTACTCGAAGGCCTCACGCGACGCAGCATTATTCTCCCAATTGCCGGGGCCAGAGTTGTTATACTCAGCGAACGTGACATAGTCGGTGCGAGGATCAGTCGTGCTCCAGACCTTCCAGCCAGAGGGGTTGATGATATCCGTGAGATAAGAGTTCTTCACAACCACAAGCGCATATTCCGAGTAAGGCCGACCCAGGTAGACAAGCTCGGTCAAATCGACTGTCGCATCGCTGGCGGCATCGAAAAGACACTGGTCAAAGATATAACCACCAACGGCGGTCGATGAGGCACGGCTCTGGGCAGTAATGGCAGATTTCTGACGCTTGGCACCGATAGTGCAGCCCTTGAAGTAGGCCTTGGAGTAACCCCAGATGAAGTCGATGGCACCCTCGATGTAGGATGATTCGTAGTACTGGTAGCCAGTGGTACTGCCTGTCAGCAAGGTGTCTTGCCAGCCAACAAGGCTGCAGCCGTAGAAGCCAATTTCAGAGCCATAGATCGAACCAGCAAGAGTCACGTAAGACGACTGGGAGCCATCCAGATTGGCGGTGTTGATAATGTTGATATTATACAAGGCAATCTGGTTGCTGGCGGTGGCGAAAGTAGCCGTCTCAGCATCCGAGTGACCCGTCGGCAACGGGCTGACAGACAAGCCCCGCGAGTAGGTAATGGTGACTTGGTTGTTTGTGTATGTAGCACCGGGACTGCCAGACTGATAGCCGATGATCATGACTGGCCCATCACGGTCCACTGACGGCACTTGCTCGTTGTACGAGCCGGCGTACATGAAGATGATCTGAGTGGAGGAATCATCAGGCAGAGAAGCCAGCGCATCGGTCAGACTGCTGTACGAGCCATTGACAGCACCGTCAGGCGAGACGAGCACTGCGCCCGCGGGAGGCACAGTGCCACTAGTCGGATGCGCCCAGGTAGCAGTAGCAGTTGATGTCGACGTGTTGGTGCTGGTCGTGGTTGATGGTCCCGTCAGACTGTATGAAGGCACATAGTTATAGGCAGTCATGTCCAGCCAAGTAGTATCGCCAACCCATGACGACAGGCTATACGAGGCTGCCTGGGTGGCGGTCAGGTTGGTAGCGAAAGAGACACGGCTCGAGGACCAGGCTCCGGGACCGGAGTTGTTGTATTCTCCGAAAGTCACATACGCGGTGTTGGGAGAACTTGTCGACCACTGTTCCCAGCCAGCGGCGTTGATGTGCTTATCCAAGTATGAGTTCATGTAGACAGCAATGCTGTACTCCGAGTATGGCCGACCGAGATATGACTTGCCGTAAGTCGACCCATAGGTGCTGGTGTAGGTGACATAGCAGGTATCGAAGACGTAACCACCAGACGCGGTTGATGAAGAACGACTTTGCGCCGCAATGCACGCCCCCGGGGTGTTTGTAGCGATGTAGCATTGGTGGAAGTAGGCGGTCGAATAGCCCCAAATGTAATCAATAGACCCTTCGATGTAACAGTTGGAGAAGACCTGCGTGCCCTTGTTCGCGAGCAAGGTGTCTTGGAAGCCAATGAAGGAACAGCCATACGCCGCCATATTAGTGCCGTAAAAATCAGCGGCCAGCGCAGCCGTATTGCTGGTCTGAGGATAGGTGTTCTGGAAGTTGATGTTGTAGAGGGCCAAGCCGGTGCCGTCGGTCTTCTTCGCGTTGATGACGGGTGTACTCTCATCTTTGCCGGCACTGGTGAGCTCTCCGTTCGAGAACTCAATGGTGACCAGATTCTGGGTGTAGTCATTCGCGAACGAAGTTTCTCCGCGCAGAGTGACCTTTCCAGAGCGCGTGATAGAGATTTGCTCAGTGTAGGTACCTGCAAGGATGTAGATGGTGTAAGCCTTGCCGTCACTGGGTAGAGCAGCGATAGCTGCGGTGACATTGCGATACTGTCCAGTGGTAGCATTCTGCGAGACCACAAACGTCGAGGTGCTCGTGGGTGCCGCACTCGTGGCCGAGGCTACGACCGACGCGCTGGCTGTAGCAGTGACAGAAACACTGGCAGAGGAGGAAACGGAGGTGCCATAAACAGAATCCGGAAAGCCGGAGAAGGAAGCAATGGCTGACGTATCGATCCAACTCGTGCTCCCCAAGACGTTAGCAATGGAGTACGCGCTGTCATCAGACAGAATGTCCACGACACTGCTCCGTGAGCTGGTGGAGGCACCAGGGCCAGTGTTGTTATACTCTGCAAAGGTCACACTGCTGCTGGACGACGAGATCAACCAGCCCAGGGGCGCGATATGGGCATCAAGATACGAGTTCAGAACAGCAACATGGGCCTTCGTGGAGTAGTCCCGGCCCAAGTAGGTGCTACTCTTTGGGACGGAGCTATCACTCGGTACGAAGGCGCAGCTGTCAAAAACAAATTGAGATGGCCCGTAGGAAGTCTGATAGGACTGCGCAGCGATGGTCTGGCCGGTGGTGGTTCCATCCGAAATGATGCGGGAATTATACACGTAGATGCCACCGTAGCCCCAGATAAAGTCGGTGGTGCCCTCAATCCGACAGTCGGAGAAGTAGAAGGCACCGTAGTTGATCAGCAAACTTCCTTGAGAAGACTTGATGCCACAGCCGTAGAACCCGAGGACTTGAGCCTTAGCAGCGACAGCCACTGCAATATTATTTTTAGCAGGTGTATAGTCGTTCTCGAAGTTGATGTTGTAGAATGAAATCCCCTTGGCGTAGTATTGGGACGCTTGGAACGTTGCGGTAGATGCAGATCCACCGTTGCTAGACAGCACTCCGGCGCTATGGACGATGGTGACAGTATTGCTTGACTGGTCCAGGGCATTCGTAGTCTGCCCACGGAATACAGTCGCTCCCTCACGGCTGATGGTAATGGCTTCCTCGTAAGTACCCGAGAGGATGTAGACATACTGGGTAGTAGAATCGGAGGGTAGAGCAGCGACAGCCGATGCAATGCTGGTGTACTGCGCACAACTTCCGGAAGGACCAACCACTAGGGCACTAGTAGGTACAGTGGAGGGCAAGGAACATCCGGTAGAAGACGAGGCGGTTGCAGACGAGACAGCGGAGGAAGAAGCAGACACTCTGACCGCAGCCGGCGACACCGTGGTCGTCCCAGTGGCACCCGACCGAATCAGAGTCGAAGCAGCGCGGGTGGCTGTGACCTGAGATGCGGATGTCGAGGCGGCACTGATGCTGGATGCGGCTGTAGTAACAGTAGTGGATGTTGATGTCGATTGCTGGATGACGTCAGCACTCTCAATAGCGGCCAAAACGTCAGCATCGACCCAATCGGTGTTCGTCGCGGCGAATTGATAATAAGCACTAGCAAAGACTTCGGCCGGGGAGAACCGAGTGAGGTCAGTTGCACTCAGCAGGTGAACATATGCTGACCGCTTGGCTTCGTTGTTGGCATAGGAACCAGTGCCGGTGTTTTCAAATTCACCGTAGAAGTTCCGAGGGTCCGTAGAGTAGCTGTCAGTGTAGGCACCCGTGGCTGTGATCAAGCTGCCTAGAGTCGAGTCCCGATAGACCACCACAGAGCCGTACCCATTGTTGGCGGCACCAAGGTAGACGTTCTTTGTGCTGGTGCCAGACTTCTGCTGGACCGAGCAGGAATCGAAGACAACGGTGGAGTTGTAGAGGACCGAGTTATATGTAGTGCCTCTGTTATAGACGATCAAGGCGCTATTGTCGACGGGTACGATCGTGGTATTGTACACATACAAGCCGGGGTACCCATAGATGATCTTGTCCAGGGCTTCGATGTAACTGTCGGCAATGATGGCAAGACCCAGGTTGGCATTGATACCAAGACTCCCAGCTGAGACGAATTGGCAGCCGTAGAATGCATTTTTGGAGCCGCGAATGGTGGCCGCTGCATAGCTGCCCGTAGCCGTGTTGACAAAGTTGATATTGCGGAAAGTAATACCGAGGACGTTGGACGAGATGGTCAGAGGGCTAGTGGCCGAGATGGTGACCTGGTTTTGGCTATAATCTTGTTGGCTGGATGCTTCGCCGATGACGACGACGGTGGCAGTGGCCGAGACGGTCACGGCTTGAGTGTAGGTGCCGGCTTTGACGGTCACAGTGGGGATGCCCTTCGACTGAGCATAGGAAATAGCATCTCCAATGGCGGTGAACTGGCCAGAGGCGTCGGTGGCAACGATCACAGCGGTGGTAGATGCTAGAGAAGAGTCAGTTATACGAGAAGAGAAGGAGATACAGGTTGGAGATAGAACTGACTCGAAGCGGATGTGGTGGCAGCATTCTCAGAGGATGATGCAGTAGTCACTACCGTTGTAGCAGTCGTAGCATCCTGCGTACTGGCCGGGAATGCGGCAGCCGCGGTAGGGATGACTGCCTGAGAGGTGACTGAAGAAGAGGAGGAGGAGGGGAAGGCAGCAGCACAGCTCTGGGCCAAAGCCAGGCCTGCGACGCCCAAGACAGACCAGACTTGCATAGTGGTTGTCGTTACTCGCCCGGTTCTGGACCACGATCAAGCGCGGCGCCAGTCGGAAGGAGAAAGTATGGACGAACAGGGGTAGAGATTGAGGGCCATGGGCCATGGGCCATCATGAAGATATTTATACACTAAGACGGGAAGTGAGGACATTCGGCCTGTAGGTGGCGGCGAAGAGTCCTACAGGCCAGGGGCAAGCGTAGCCGAGGGCTTTCCAGAGCCGATCGAGCATGGTACCGGTGATACCATGATGAGCCGGGGCACTAAAGCCCAAGATGGGAATTGGATCCGGTTACGAAGGGGATGAAGACTAATAGATTGCTTGATTGCTGAAGAGCAGCTGCCAAGCACGTGGCGTCGGAGTCCATCCGGAAAAAGCCCTAACGCTTCACGATTGGTGGCATATCTGATAAGCAGCAAGCACCTTTTTCCAGCGGCCGAAAGGACGATAAGCATTGCGCATGGTTCGGGCCAGGGGTAGGCAAATCTAAGCGATTGGCGTCCATGGCGATCCGTTCCTGGCGTCGCGTCTCCCGCTTCCTGACGAAGGATCATTTGCTTTTCTTGCATTGCTCTGATCATGAGGGTCTTGTGGGGACGATTGTTATTCTGTGTCTCTCCCTCGGCGGGAAGGAATTAGGTGTTGCGTGGTGGAGATGTGCAAATTTTGCTCTCACCCTCGTAGTGCCCTTTCTCTCCGAGGGACCGTCGAAGGGATCGGGTGTCAGGAACACAATAGACTCGGCCAGATGTTGGGAAGATCCGGCCGGGCCTTGAACTGGCTGGATCGAGTATATCGACTGGACGAACCGAAGTTTGGCTGTCAGCGAATTCCCGGTTCAATTGCGGGTCTGGCATTCAGCACCGCCACAATGACCATCTCACCATCGCCCGACCGGGAATGGGAATGGGATTCTCCGAGCTGACTCCATCGAGACAGTCCGCCGGTCGTGGCGTTGGGATGAGCCAGTGTTGATGGTGCGGTGTCTCCGATAGTCTCGATAGTCTCGATAGTCTCAATAGTCTCGATAGTCTCGATAGTCTAGAGATGGCTCACGTGGACGTTCCAAGAATAAGGAAGGCTCTAGAGGACGGGAAAAAGAAAAGCGGGAATCGAGTAGCGATCTAGACGAGCATGGTGGCAAGAGGATCTGGAATTCTGGATAGAATCGTGGGAAAAGCTTGGATCAGGTGGAGGCAGGAGAAGGGAGGTCCAATGGAAAGAAGAAGAAGAGGTGTCGGATGCGGTAGGCCTCAGGCAGCCGCTTCAGGCAGCAAGTATAACTAGCTAACTTAACTAATGCTTCCTGATGACATAATTATACTCCCGGCACAACCCCTCTCCTGTCTAAACTGGGAATAGCTTCAAGCAAATTTGACCGATGCAATCAAACAGGCTCACTTCTAAGCTTCGCTTCCTCGCTTCCTATCCAATCATCCTCGCCCAATCCCTGAACTGAGGGTCCTGCAATTTCGAGAGACTTCGATAATGGCTGCGCTGAGTGGGGCCAGACCCTGCCTGATACGAGGAGTTTCGCTTGCAAGCTCAGCAGCACCAGCAACAGTACCAGCATTATTGGGCATGGGCCAAGGCACCAGGGACCATTAGGTCGATGATTGCCTGTTCCTGGTTCCTGCAGTTGGCTCTCTCCACGGATCGCTGGGGCTTTTATATTCGTTGTAAATCGCCCGTTCTTGAGAGTCGTCGCATCAACTGCACAGCTCAGCTTGATTGCCAGCAACACCACCATGAAGTCGGTCATCTACTCGCTGGCGGCTTCGCTGCCCTTGGTCCTTCCGACCCAAGCCGATAGCCTCTGGGAGCAGGTCAGCTGCTTCACCTCCGTTGGGAATATGGAGAACATGGGCACCTTTGAGTTCCAATCCGTCGACCACTGCATCGCTCAATGCGATGAGGTGAACGGGGTTTTTGCTGCGGTGCAAGAGGAGTCGTGTTACTGCGGCACTGCTGCTCTCGACATCCAGGACATGGCCTTGGCCGACAGCGACAGTGCTTGCAATGCCTCGTGCCCCGGTTATGCTGTTGATACTTGTACGAAGCAACTTTTCTCCTCGCGCCATTCCTGCCTTGCTGACCTGACCTGACGAATAGGTGGCGGGGATGGCGTCTATTCTCTCTGGGTTTCCCAAGAATACGTCTTAAGCTTAGGTGGCGACGACGACGACGACAATGACGATGACAATGCCAACGACAATAACGCAGACAACAAGGGTTATGACTATGGGGATGAGGATGGTGGCTCCGACGGCGAGGAGAACGAGGACGGGGAGGATTCCGACAGTGACTATCACAGTGGCTGGCACAGTACATTCACTGCCGTCGCTACCATTACTCCTTCCTCAACATCTGCGACAAATCCTGTATCGACGTCGGCCAGTCTCAGCAGTCTCGCTTCATCAATGACTGCTTCGACCACCCAAACCGCCACGGGCAGTGCTGCCATCACCACGACTACTTCTACTTCGGGGGCCAGTCGCCGCTTCAGGATTCTCTTCTTTTAAAGGTGCAGAAGGCTGACTAAATTAGTTTCAATAGTATCAGTAGTGTCAATAGTGTAATATAATTCTAGTGTATATTAGCTTCAACATAATGCTAGAATCCGATCTCATTCGTGGAAGTTGGCTGACCGAGGATGGCGCGATCTGCAGGCTGGATGGCATTCGAAAACCCGCTACCAGGTATAGTTAGTAGTTCCTTGAACTTATTTAATGATTAGTAGCTACACCACACCGCACCACACCACATTCACGTACCTCCCACCACCTCTACATACATAGCCAGCAGCCATGGTTCGTTGGGGAATCTTAGGTGCGAGGAATTCGATTTCAATGGCTACAACTTGATTCACTAATCTTGTCTGGATCAGGAACCGGCGATAATGCCACCAGTTAGTCGTCCATTGAAACTCCCCCCTTCCCAATTCCAATCATTCGCGACCACTGACCCAATATCCATGATATCGGCCATAGAATTCGTCAAAGACCTTCTCATCGACCCTGCCACGCGTGATGTCCATGATATCACCCACGACATCGCCGCGGTCGCTTCGTCCAGCGCGATAGAAAAAGCTCAGAATCTCCTCTCCACTACCAACGCTCCGCCCACAGCTCGTGCCTACGGTTCTTACGAGACTCTCGTCGCTGATCCCAATGTTGAAATTGTCTACGTCGCTTCTCCTCACTAACATCATTTCGCCCACACGCGTCTGGCCTTACTCGCCAACAAACACGTCCTCGTGGAGAAGGCTTTCACAGTGAATGCCGAGCAAGCCCAGGTGCTCGTGGATCTAGCCAGGAAACGGGGACTCTTCCTCATGGAAGCTCTTTGGACCCGTTTCTTCCCTCTAACCCAGCACGTACAATGTCTCGTTCGAGAGGGTACCATCGGGAAGGTGCAGCGGATCGTGGCAGATCGGAACCTAGGTCGCAACGTGGAGGAGCTGTATGGCACCGAGCATCGCCTGGTCAACCCCGCCTTGGCTGGCGGCGCGCTGCTGGACTGTGAGCGTTCTCGGCCCCGGCCAAATCTCGGTCTGTAAGCTGACAGGATAATTTTTCGCAGTGGCCGTCTACCCACTAACCTGGGTCTTCCTCTTCCTGAGCCCCGACCAGCCTCTTGTTTCCGTTCCCCTGCAAACGGCTGGCTCCGTAATCAAGTACACAGAAACAGCGGTAGATGAGACTGTGACGATAGTCCTCACCTCCCCTGAAACCAGGACGCAGGGTGTAGCGACGGCTAGTCTCCGAGTCACTGCAGATCCGAAGGAACCAGGTGTCCGTATTCTTGGAACAAGAGGACAGATCCAAGTATTTGGGCCCGCAGCGCGTCCGGATAGTATCAAAGTGGTGGTCTATGGGACCGCGGAAGACGCCTCGAGAACCGCATTTCCGATCCCGGTGGGCCATGGATTGTTCTGGGAGGCAGATGAGTGTGCCCGGCGCGTGCAGGCTGGCGAGCACGAGTCGCCCGTTATGCCCTTGGAAGAGACGCTATTGATGATGAGGGTGTTTGACCAAGTTCGTGAGCAAAATGGATTGCACTACCCTGATGAGATTGAAGCAATTGCATAGGTCCGGGGGCGCCATATACCACATTCCGTGCTGAACCTATCAGGTAAATATGATAATTACAGCGTAGAAAGGTGCTATCTGGCTTATCCCGTCTCCGTCACAGTCTAGGTCATAATGGGTAGTTTCTGTTCCTTCAGCTGAATTCTCCGGAGAAAATAAAGACATCATAGGAAAGGACAGTTCCCGGAATACTACAAGAGGTTTATCACGATCTTACCGGTTTATACCCTCAAACAGTGATGAGTTGACATCCTCCTCTTGCTATGGCCTCTCTAGGGATATTTACCGTCCATTCGATGGAGTGTTTCCGATGGACGAGTAGTGGGACCGAAGACTGCACTCACCCCCACCAGCGTCGAAAGTCACATCATGGTGTATATAAAGATTCGTGGGAACACACCTTGTGGCGGCCACCCTTTTTGCAACCCACCTTGTCGTCTGCTTACACACAAACGGAAGAACTCAAGACAACATGGTTTTCCCCTTTGAGAAACTCCCTGCGATCACTCAAATCGAGAAGATCGCCCAGATCTTCGACGAGGGCGGAGTTAAGCACATCGTGTGGACTGGATCCATACTTCGGCTATACGGGGTGGAAGATACCCAGCTGGGCGTGCCGCACTACATCGAGTTCGTCGTCGAGAACGCCTCTATGGCCCGCGCAGTCCAGCTGCTCTACGAGAAGAGCTTCAGTCGCAGTTTGAACCAGATGTGCGGCCGATCGGGTGGTCTTCATGATGGGGGAACTGAAATCGTGCAATTATCCACCGGCGGAGAGCCGCATTTGGATCTGTACCTGCACACATGCTCCAAAGTCTTCGGGTCCCGTGTAGTCCCTGACGACGAGGATGAGATATGGATGAATGAGGACCAATGGGAGCTCCCCAAGTTCGTGTTGACGAAGCTTAGAATGCTAAAGCCGGTGTACTATATCAAGATGCACCTAGTGCAATGGGCCCGGCGCTGGTGTTTGGGGCCGGGAGAAAGCTATCACTGGTTTATGGGCGCGCGCGTCCTGGACCATCTGATCTCGAGGAAGCTCAAACCGGGGGTCATCGGCTACGAGTCTCTGGACCATCACTTGGATGGAGTCTGGCGCGCGGTGCACGCTCGGGAGCCTTTCAAGGATCTTGAGGTCTATGTGCAGCGCATGGCGCAGGCTTTGGACAAAGCAGGCATCCTCGTACCCTTGCCCACCTCTCAGTGGCCGGAGCAATTGGTTCGCGACATCTACGATGGTGATATTCCGGATTACAGTGCTTTCGCTGGGGGATCCATGGCGGCCTCCTTTGGCGATAGTTTCCATCCCACAATCGCCGATTCTTCGGCTGCGAGTAGTTTTGCAGCGACCAGTGACAACTCCAGCACGCCTGTGACTGAGGACGAGGTGCCAACGCACCTGAGGGCCGTGGCAAGCCCTCCTGCTCCGGACTCAGATAATGCGGCGGTTCTTCAGGTCCCTGGCACTCCGGAAGCTGAGTCGACTGCCAAAACTGACATCGCTAAAAAAGAGGACGATTCCTTGATTCCTGGAACACCTGAAGAAGAGCTTCCTGTGAAGATCAACGTCCTTGGTTCATCTTCGAGCAGCCCTAAAGCCACCGCAGATCCCGAAACCGATGTCCATAGCTCTGATGCACCAGAAGAGCAAGAGGCTTATCCCATCCTCCCTGCCAGCGTCTCGTTTGGTTCTCTCCCAGAAACAGTCGCTGACCCAGACTCCGAGCCAGGGTCCCCAATGGCTACAGAGGAAGATGAGCCTGAGCAATATTCTGCGGGCTCCTCTATGATGACAGAAAATGATGTGGCGGAGCCGGTCCATGATCCTATGGAGTTTTCGTCTGCTGATCGCTGAAAGCGAATTAGCAATAGACGAGGGCAAGACGAGCACAAAATGCGAAAACAAGTAGAAGCTGATTGCTGATAGGTTCAGCACAGTAGGAATCAAAATCACCCATAATAAAGATTGCAACGAAACAATTCTCATACCACAAAAGACCCAGATGAAAGAGGAAAGACACAAAGAAAGAAAGATATGAGCAGGACACAGTACAATAACCGCAGAAAGACCCGTTGCAGAGAGGGGTTCTACTGAGTCCGACTCCACAACCTGTCGATGACTTCGTATTGAACGATTGACGTGGGAAAAGATCTTCCAGGAATTAACCTCAGTCAAATTACCGTGTACAACATCCAACCGCTGTCTTGTGCAGCTAAGACTGTTAAATGTCACCGCACTGCGGGTGGCCGCAGGACTTGTGCTGCAACTGTGTCCTTGATGCCTCAGGAGTTGGTTCCTGCCTGGCTGCCTGGTTGCTGCCAGCGAAAGACCGTCACATGACCACGGTCGCACTCGGCTAGTTTGGCCGCAGCTCCCAAGTTGTACTCAGTAACTTGCTCCACTCCACCACTCCAACAAACTCCTCCCCACCACAGCTGACCTGACCACGAATTCCCAACGCCACTCGTACACTTAGTCGTACACTACACTAAGTGGAGCAGCAACTTAGACATCCATGATGCTCACAAGGGGCCACATTAGCCGATGACTCTCACCTATAACAGCGAAAGGATGATGAATCTAATGCCGGGCCGACCTTTATGCAGTCAGCCTCATCCTAGTCGATACGAGCGGGCCTATGAGAGAGAGTTCTAACAACGTCTCAGCTGAAAATCGTCAATTCGCAATTCGCAAACAATTAAAACAATTCATGATGTTCGCACCTTATTTCCGCTATAAAAGCTTCTGCGCAACTGCGCCCTTCCGCAGTTTGGTCTAGGTTGCTTTCACCAGCATAAACCACCATGTTGAACCTGGACTACACCATTGCCAATCTCCAGGGCAAGACGATCCTCGTCACGGGCGGAGCCTCGGGGTTTGGGGCCGCCTTTGCCACTCGCTGGGCTGCAGCTGGCGCCCAGGTCATCATTGGGGACATCAATCCCGCCGGAGAGACGGTCGTTGCGCAGATTCGCTCCGACTCCTCCAATGAGAACGTGCATTTCATCCATCTCGACGTGACATCATGGGCCTCCCAAGTCAACTTCTTCCGACAGGCGGTACAGCTCAGCCCGCACGGGGGGATTGATGCCGTCGTGGCCAATGCTGGCGTCAACGACCGGGACGAGGCGAGACGACTCGAGTCTCCCACCGTGGATTACGCGAATGACCCCAACCCCCCAGCGCCCAGCATGAAGACGGTCGACATCAATCTGACGGGGGTTCTGTATACGGTTCACCTGGCCCAGTGGTACCTCCCTAGGAATCCCGAGTCGCTACCCTGCTCCGAAACCGGGCAGACAGCTCCGAGAGATCGCCATATCCTTCTAATGGGCTCCACGGCGAGCTTGCACCCTTTCATCACCCAGGCGCCCTACACGATCACGAAACATGCGGTCTTGGGCCTGTTCCGCTGCCTGCGCGTCACCGCCCCCGTGTCGGGCGGAATTCGCGTCAACATCATCTGCCCCTATTTCACCGACATTGGCATGTTGAATGGGCCAGGTCGCGTGATATTAGCTGGGGTCCCTATCGGGCAGCCGGAAGATGTGGTCGAGGCAGCCACCTATCTCATGGCCAACCAGCAATGCAGCGGGCGCTCCCTGGTCACTGGCCCCCGGTTGAAGCTGGACCTTCCCGACCGTGCGTACTTGACCCGAGATTCTGTCGAGGAGGCTGTACAGTATACCATCGATGGCGGGGAGGATTTCGAGAAGGGAGTCTGGGAGTGCCAATTGCACGATGTGGAGACCACGGACGTCTTCACCGACCGGATGTTGAAGGTTGTGAAAACAGTGGTGGCCGCTCGGGGATGGATTGGCTGGGCCAAGGGGATGGCTGGGGCGTTGCTTTGGCCACTGACGAGGAAGTCGCCTAAGTGATCCCTACCGACATAGTTGATACTAGGTACTTAATATACTTGATAAGTTGGTAACGTCCAAGTGATCCCGTATCTACTATTGTACTGTACAGTAGTTACTCACTCTACTGCTCCCGACCGCGTACTACGTATGACTGGATTGGGACTAGCGGGGTCAGACCCGGGACTATTCCTCGATAGGCTTAGCATCTTCTGTTCTTCTCCTACAATGCAATGTCTAGTTACATCTTCGACAACTTCGACAAGCTCAACCTCACCTTCTATCAACAGGAAAAACATCCAGTCTGTGTTCGCCATCATCGTCGTCTCATACTATGTGATTCTTTGTTGATTCCCGCTGTCGCTGACAGGGAGATGATTGACTATGGTGCACGAAAGAAGCCCTTTCCCTATGCTCACCACGGTGGAGCTTGACAAACCGCAGCACAATCACCTGCCAAATTTATCGTATCACCCACTGAACCAGGGACATCATCGACATGTGAGAACGAGAACCCCCAAGCCAGGTTAAATCTCCCTGGGGGGCGGGTGGCGAATGGCTGATGCACGGGCTATTCTCTCTCCTGGCTCTTCTACAATCCTCACAATTCTCTCAAATATCCTGCCAAGCAAAAATGGCCCAATCCTCCTTGGATGATATCACGCCTTCCCTCGAGCGCTCAGCTGGGCTTTCTGCCTCACCAGCGGCGGCACAACTGCTCACAGCTACTGAGACAATGGGTGTGACACGCCCAGTCGAAGATATTGATGACAGCTGTTTCCCTGCCCCGGTCCCTGTCGCAATCGTAGGGATGGCGATGAGGCTACCGGGAGGAGTGACCAACGCAAGTGACTTCTGGGAACTGCTGATAAACAAAAGAGATGGCCTTTGCCGGGTACCCGGGAATCGGTACAATATCGACGCCTTTTACCATTGTGACGGGGTTCCCGGGACTATTCGAACCGAACACGGGTACTTCTTACAACAAGATATCGCTCAGATGGACACCGGTTTCTTCAGCATGTCCAAGGTAGAGGCCTCTAAATTGGATCCCCAGCAGAGATTGCTACTGGAGGTGGTGTGGGAGTGTATGGAGAACGCGGGTCAGACCCATTGGCAAGGAACCAACATGGGCTGCTATGTGGGCAATTTTGGTGAAGACTGGCTAGACCTAGCCAGCAAAGACACTCTGGCCATTGACCGTTACCGCGTGATGGGAACGGGGGACTTCGCCCTTACCAACAATGTCTCCTACCAATATGACCTGAGGGGTCCCAGCGTTGTCTTTCGGACGGGCTATTTATCTTCCATAGGAGCTGGGGAAGATGATTGCGACCCACATGTCTTACGCAGAGGACATGGAGCTGGAAGAATTGGCTGCTGTCGCCATAGACTCACTCATGGCAATTGAGATTCGAAGCTGGTTCCGCCGTCATATCAAAGTCGAAATCTCCCTCCTTGAGATCGCAAATGCAGGAACCGTTGGGAAACTCGGCAAGGCAACGATGAGAATTCTCCGCGCCAGGTATGCATCCGAGGAACTGGAGCCCGGTGATGCAACTGCCTTGCTTGATCCCAATCATGGCGAGGTAGACGATACTGAATTATGGAAACGAGATTGGGAACTGAGGCGAGACCTTCACCCAATAGCGGAGACGGCGCCAGAATGGCATACCCCTGGCGAGGGCCGTGTTTTGTTTACCGGCGCAACTGGTTTCCTCGGGGCTCATCTCCTCTCCTTGCTGGCTGGTCTACCGCATGTCCAGGAGGTGACGTGTCTTGTCAGAGCTCCCGATGCAGAAACAGGTCTCTCGCGAATCAAGAAGGCTTTTCATGAGTATGGTCTCCAGCTCAATTGTGATTGTCAAGACACCAATGCCATTGACCTCTAAAATGTTGATCATTTGCGTTACATTCATTCTGACTCTGATCAATCTTGTATCTCTGCCACCTTGTGTGTGATGAAGGTCTGGAAGGGAAGGTCTCTCGAGGTAGAGATTCGTGGCTGCTGCCTGATAGCCAAGGCGGCAACAAGACCGGAATGCCACGGTCCCCAGGTCCAAGTTGCCCAGCCCTACTTCCAAGTCCGGTGTTCAATCCGCCTTCTACAGCCCTACCATGTTCTGGCTCGAAAACCTCACGTGTCAAGCCGAATGCGAACCAGCGGTCAAGGGGGTCTGATGATTACTGATCACGAACCTCGCCAGCACATCATTGGCCCGATGGTGCAGGATACGAGGGCGATGATCCACCATGACCTCTTATGAGCTCTCTCATGGAACCATGAAAGAGCCTACTTTCTTTCATAACAACCCATAATCGGGCCAGAATCAGCCGCCATTGCGTTCGTCTGGAGGTATATATGCAGGCTTACAACCCGTTCTCCCGTCTCAGTGAAGATCATCACCGCCACTCCCCAACAAGTCATCCACCATGTTGTCCTTCCTGCGCGCTCCACCTCCTCCCCGGATCAACCGGGCCTCCCAGAACCCCATCGTGTATGAGAACGGCCGCTCCTCCGTCTCCTTCTACGCCTCGCAGGAGGACTACGTCTTCCGCACGACCCTGCCACCCCGCAACAGCGACAGCGACATCTCCATCATGGAGCCCCCATTCCACTACCACATCCACCAAACCGAGACCTTCCGCGTCGTAACGGGCAGCATGAACCTGTACAAAGGCATGGATCCGAAACCCTGGAAACAGCTGACAGCCACCACCACTGAGGACGCAAAGCACCAACCCACCGCGACAATTCCGCCCAAGACATACCACCGCCTGCAGAACGCTTCCGCCACCGAAGAACTGATCTTTGACGTCAGACTCTCCCCCGTGGACTACGAAGTCGAGGAGCGCTTTTTCCGCAATTTCTTCGGGTACCTAGACGACTGCAAGATCGCCCAGCAGGCGCCGAGTCTGTTCCAGCTGATGGTGTTCCTGCATGCGGCGGATATCCCGCTCGCGTTGCCGATGCCGTGGCATGGGTTGGGGGTGGTTGTGAGTCGGCTGTTCACGGTTGTGGTGGCAGCGTGGGGCAGGTGGGTGCTTGGGTATCGGGTTTCGTATCCTGAGTATTATCAGGGGAAGAAGGGTTTATAAGGAGAGGCTGTGCTTTATTGGGGGGGGGGGCTGTGCTGTGAGATATGCAGTGTGTAATTGATGATACATGTTTGATTTGCGGTGAGACTAGCTGGAGTTCTTGTGGATTCGTTGTCTTTGAGTCTATGAATATAGTGATGCGGCGGAGAGTGTATAAGAAATATTGTCTGAGTCTTGTCAGAGAAACTGCTGAGTCCCATAATGCGAGACGAAGGTGCCGCCATCTCCGTTCTGAACACTGGCTCTGTGCATCACCGAGAGCACATCTCGCACGGCTGCTTTGGGGCTACTGGGGCCGCGGAAGTGAGGGGCATACTCGCGAAAAGCCTTAAGCATGCCTACCAAGCCTCGCATTTACTCAGGAGTTACTAGGTAGAAGTAGAGGTACTGTATAGTACGACAATGAAACAGTCACAGGTTATATACCGTCTGTGAAATAGCCCATTTCCACCATGCCGGGACAAATGCTCATGAACAGCACCCCCTGTTTGGCATACTGCGCGCTGAACTTGGCCACCGCAGTGTTCAACCCCGCCTTTCTGATGGCATACAGCGACGCTACCTCCACATTATACTTCGGGATAAGGCTCAAATTCGCCAAGCCGGTGGAGAGAGCGATGACTTTCTTGGCCTCGCCCTGGAGAATCAGGGGCAGGAAGACGTTGAACAGATGGATATTGCCCAGGACGTTGACTCGAAAGCAGTGCGTGAGGTCTTCTTCCAGCGCTTTGGGCTGCTCGCCCCTGACGAGATAAAGATATGCCAGTTGTTTGCAGTGATGCAGGGGCATTGGGATCTACCTACAGAGCACCAATTCCATCATATGCATCGAACTTCGACACGTAGCCTGCATTCGCGATAAGGTAGTCGAGACCTCCACCGGTGATGATCGCGGTCTGAGCTGATGCTGCCTTCGTATCATCAGCCAGGCAATAGACCTCCATCCTCGGAATCGAAAATATCCACCTGTAGCCCTTCGTAGTCGGTTATGTCCGCCCTCAAGATGTGGATGTTTAGGCGGAATTCCAGCTCCTCCGTAACCTTCTTCTCGGTTGCGGGTTTGTCGCGAACGAGTCCGATGACTGTATTCTGATATCTGGCGGAGAAATTCCCACTTTCATACACGTTTTAGCATCGCTCCTATGAGGTTAGATACTGTACTCACACCCAAGCCCCGAGATGCTCCGGTGATCAAGTACGAAGGCATTGAAAAGGACGCGGATATCGGATTAGATGCGAGCACAGGAAGAAGTGAGCGGGTCTAGCAAGTGAAGAAATGTGGGAGCACTTAGGCGGCTGGAAGCATTCAATCGTTGCGTATATGTCAGGATCTCATGGCTATTATATGCAGTGGTGTCCATGTTGACACTCCGAGAGAAGGAGTGGTGTTGACAGCAAACGGCTACTCTTGCGAATCATTTGAGGAGGGAAGTTCAACTTGCCACGAGTGCAAGATGGCAAGCCATCTTCTGAAGAAGGCTAAATCCTGCGTTACATTGCCAGGCTGTTAGACCGGCAGCCGGAATGACCCTTTGGTAGGGATCGGACGGATGATACTTCCAACAGACAGCCAAAAGAGCTGTGGAACAGGCCAAGGTACCTTGAATCCCGGGCACTGATGTGAACGACACAAACCGATATCGACAACAGACTGAGCAAGGTGAACTGTACTAAGAATGTAAGCTCAGTACTGTTGTCAGCTCTCGTTTTGCCCACCCATCATTTGTGTATATTCCGCTGACGCACTACTTACTTCAAGTTGGCTGTGTGTGTGGAGAATGGGCAGTGGCTGGGGAACCATGACTGATATGAGTCACAGAGTGAGAAGTCAGTTGTAAGCAGAGACCCCCCGCTGTCTGTGATTTCCAACTTGGAAAGTCCTCTTGTTAACAGACGTTGTGCAACAACTGACTATGTTGAAGCTGGATGCAAGCAGGGCCGATAAGATAAGAGGAATGTGGGTGAGCCACCATCGGTGTGCGACGGCAGAATAACCCAGAGGCCACAAACTCTGCAAACATTGTAAACACTGCAGACACTGTAAGCACCGCATACACCACAAACACCGCAAATAGTTAGCAGCAAATAAAACAAACAAGCGATCCCCCGACAACGGTGGATCGCATGACATCATCCGATCGGTCGCATTCCGATCGGTAGAGTCCAGACCAGCAGGAGATTCATCTCTCTTGCTCTCTCTCTCTCTCACCAATCTCGCCGCGGTCACTGAACTCAACGAGCGCAGCGCTCGTTCATTCGAATTCGCGCCCTCGCGCGCCCCATCATCGAGCAGCATGCCTCTCAATCTCAAGAAACCCAGCGGCGGGCCCGTCGTGCTTCTCTGGCACCGAACCGACCTTCGTCTCCACGACGCTCCAGCACTTACCGCCGCATTGGAACTCAAGCCATCTATCTTCATCCCCGTCTGGACCTGGGACCCTCACTACGTCTATCGCGCCCGCGTCGGCCCCAACCGCTGGCGATTCCTGCTCGAGAGCCAGCAAGATCTCTCCGCCGCCTACACAAAACTGAACCCGAAGCAGAGACTCTGGCTCGTGCGCGAGGCGCCCCAGACCGTGCTCCCGAAGCTGTGGAGGACCTGGGGCGTGACACATCTGGTCTTCGAGAAGGACACCGATGCCTACGCCCGGGATCGAGATAATCAAGTGGTGCAGCTGGCGGAGAAGGCGGGCGTTACAGTGGTGATCAGGAGTGGGAGGACACTGTTTGACTCGGACGAGATCGTGCGCGTCAACGACCGCAAGCCCACGATGAGCATCACCCAATTGGAGAAGGCGGCTGAGAAGCTCAACGGTGGCATTCCAGACCAGCCGCTGGAGGCCCCGACCAGCGTCCCGGATCCGTGGGAGGAGAGTCGCATGGACCTGAACCAAATGAACCAGGACATCCCTGAGACAGAGCCGGATGTGAACTTGGAGCACCGGACCAAGAAGACGGAGACACAGTACCATAACATCATGGGTCCGAAGGGGGACTTCGCGGTGCCCGCGCTCGAGGAATTAGGCATTGATCCGTCGCAGGCGACGACGCCGCATCGCGGGGGCGAGTCGGTGGCTCTCCGAATCCTCAGCGACTGTATGGAGGATGAAGACTACGTCGGTACATTCGAAAAGCCCAAGACTTCCCCCGCCGCATTCGAACCTCAGGCTACCACATTGCTGTCGCCCCATCTTCATTTCGGAACCCTGTCCGTCCGAAAGTTCTGGTGGGATGTCGACTCCGTGCTCCAGAAGAGAAAGAGCGAGAAAAGGCCCGTCGCACATATCCCAACCAACCTGCCGGGCCAACTCCTCTTCCGAGACATGTATTTTGCAGCTCAGGCGGCTCTGGGGTATGCTTATGCGCAGACCCAGGGCAACAAGATTGCCCGCTTCGTCCCCTGGCACCTGCAATCCAACTACTCTCAAGTCCCGCGAGGCGAGCATCTGCTGGATGGAACCTACACGATCGACGACCCCAAGGCAGAAACTTATTTCCGACGGTGGAAGCACGGGTGCACCGGATTCCCCTGGATCGATGCACTGATGCGGCAGCTGAAGCAGGAAGGCTGGATCCACCATCTCGGACGACACAGTGTCGCGTGCTTCTTGACCCGCGGGGGCTGCTACGTGAGCTGGGAACGCGGCGCGGAGGTCTTCGAGGAATGGCTGGTGGATCGTGAGTTTTCTCCCTTGCGCATGCCTGCAGAACATGGACTATTCACTAATGAACCGTAGACGAAACCGCCTCCAACGTCGGGAACTGGATGTGGCTCTCCTGCACCGCGTTCTTCTCGCAGTACTACCGCTGCTACTCCCCGATCGCCTTCGGCAAGAAATGGGACCCGGAAGGGCGGTTTGTGCGGCGCTACTGTCCCGAGCTGGCGCAGTTCGACAAGAAGTACATCTATGAGCCGTGGCGGGCGCCCATTGCCGACCAGAAGAAATGGAAATGCCGAGTCACTGGCGACGGGTCGAGCGATCGAGATGAGGCAAGCGGGCTGCCGACCTACCCAAAGCCGATGTTCGATTTCAATGAGCGGAGGGACTTCTGCATTGCTCAGATCAAGCATGCATACGAGATGAACCTCTACGGGGATGATCCGAAGGTCATGGATGGGTCGTGGAAAGAGCTGTTTGACTTCCACGACGAGGGTGGGAAGGTGGTGGATGAGACGACGGGTCAAGAAGTGAAGAGTCTAACGGACCACACTCGCAAGCGGGATCGTGGTGATGTGCTGGTTGATGGAGACAACGGGCATACCTCCGATGAGGTGAAAGATGAAGAGCCCGGCTCGAAGCGAAAGAAGGGATAGAGCTTTCATAATGTGGAACCGATATAGTAATGTACAGTAATGATGTAATCCAGCGATGTTTACAGAACAGCCGCCACCAGAGCCGCTACAGCAGCACCGCCAAAGATCGCACGGGCATCGTTCGAAACAACTGCACCGGCTCCGGTGCTGGTAGTGCTTGAGGCCACAGATGCAGCGGAGGTCGCAGTGGTGCTGCTAGCATCAGCAGTCGCAGACTTGTGGCTGGCCGATGCTCCGGTAGCGGCAGCGGCACCAGTGGGCGAAGCCGTGGCTGAGGCAGTGTCCGAGGCAGTGATGCTGCCCGCCCCCGCGGTGATAGTCACCGGCATCAAGCCACTGGCAATGTCGTCGGTGTCGAGTGGGATGGTGCTGGTTCCAGGGAAGTTGGCGCCGGTACCTGAGGCCATTTCAACGCAGGAACCCGTCGTGGTTCCTTGCAGAGAACACGCCACCGACCAATAGAAGTCCTCGTCAGGCTCCTCCATCAGATAGGAGGTGGTTTGCGGGCCTGCGATCACGGTCAACCCGGGCCCCATGCCGCAGTCGGTGCCGTCCGTTCCAGGAGGACAATTGATGTAGTAGGTGGTTGCCGTTGCGGCCTGTCACCAAAAGTTAGTTGATGGATGCTCCGAGTCAGTCCTTCAGATAAAATCAGAAGCACATACAACGCCCATGACAGATGCCACCAAGGGTTGAGGATCGGCATCGTAGATGAACATGGAGGTGACAGTGGTTTGCGCGGAGACCAGGCGGGCGGCGGCAGCCAGCCCTAGAAACCACTTGGCATTCATCTTGTGTGAGAGGTATCAGCAAAACCAAGACCAGAACTAAAACAGAAGCAATGCTGTGAGCAGAGAGAGATATGGCATATATATGTTTAAAAAGAAACAGTGGCAAAAGTTTCACCAACAAGAAGGGGGCCGGGGGCATTGATCCGGTCCAGGCGCCGGCGGCGTAGAAAGTCCAAACCTATTGAAATCCAAACTTACCCCTGCTTGGCACTGGGCTTGGCAAACCCTGTTCCATGACGGGTTTAGTCCCAAGACTCGGAGCCCTGATTAGGTTTAGCTTAACCCTGAGGGTTCTGAGGCTAGTCTCGATTGGGGGCTGGGCTGCCGTTCGGGTCATTTTCTGTCGGCTGTAGCCGACTGGTCCACTGCCGAGGACCTGAGTGCAAATCGCACTCAACAAGCTCATCTAGTCTAAGACAATTGAATGGGTATAATGGATTTAATGGAATATTTGTTTATAAAATATGACGTTTGATAATGTGGGGAACGGATGCAAAGTGAGACAACTGATAAAGCCGTCATCTCCGACCGAGCTATACATACGTAGCATATAAGATTCGTCTCCCGCATCGTCCTCACAACCCTTGCAATAAATCCTTGCGAGAAATCTGTCTCAGGTCTGAAACACAAGAATAAACCAACATTGTGGATGCTAGAGTATATGCAGCACTCAGTCAGGTACTTATCAGAGATCAGTCTGATCCCCGAAATGTAGAGGGTGGTGCCAAATGCCAATACATTATCGATTGTCACGCTCACAGACGTTACCTCAGTGCTCGTGTGTCTCCTGCAGCGAGCCGAGGAATAGGAATTCCTGTCAATCCTGTCCTTCCAAGGTCCGAGATTGCAGTAAACTTTGGACCAATCGTACAGTCCAGTGAATGCATGTCAGATGGGGCTTGACCCCATGCAGGCAGTAGCCCCCTCGCTAACCCCCCGCTAACCCCCCGCTAAAACGAAACTATCGGAATTGTTGACTCGCCCGGGCTTCACGGCGCCTACACTCGTCAAGTTTGGCATGCGCTGATTCGCAGACGGTGAAGGCACCAGCAGGTACCTAGTCTGCCTTATTTGACTCATCGCCTGGCTCATCGCCTGCCTGGTCGACCATCTGCCCCCTCCTTTCTCCATACTTAAGGCGGGTGGCGCTCCTGGAGTGTTTTCAAAAGGGTTGTTCCCCGGTGATGTTCTGCTGATCCTCCAACCCTCACCTTCGACAGCCCTCGTCATCCTCCCTCTAAAGTGTTTCACTTGGACATCATGCGCGCCACTTTCCTCCTCGCCGCCGCCTTGTCGGTGCTGACGGCCAGCGCCGATGACAAGACCACCACGGTGGGCATTTACAACCCAGACTGGGATGTCACCGTGCCCAAATACGGCGGATGGACCAGTACGGCGGCCAGTGTTGCGGGGGTCAACTCTAAGGCCACCACCTACCACCTCGGCTGTCTCAAGGACGCCCCCAAGACCGACTGTGACATCAAGCACTCGTGGACGATCATCCAAGGTCCCTCGACGGTGAGCGTGTCGGGCGAATACATCGCGTCGACCTCCGGCAAGAGCACGAGCTACGACTACACCGTGACCCGCACGTACGACTGTTCCCTCAAGTCGTGGAGTGAGTCGGCCAGCTGCACGATGAGCGTGGCCGTCAAGGGAACTTTCGATGGCGGATCGTACGCGTCTTCCACCTCCACGCATTCCACCTACGGTCCGACCAAGACCTTCGCAGAACTGGTGGTCACGGGCGGACTCAAGTCGCTGACGGAGCCTGCCGCCACCAAGACGGCTGATGCGGCGAACGGCAACGGGGCAGTGGGCGCCATGATCACCGCGGCCCCTATGGTCGCAGCCGCGGCGGTGGCTGCCTTACTGTAGGAGATAAGGATCGGGGAGGAGGGTGTATGTTGACTCTGTGCTTTGGATGGAACCATGTTAGTGGATGGATGAAATGAGTCTGGGACCGAGAATAACAGAACAAACCGGCCATCTAGCCTCGCTTTCTTTGATTTCTTTGCTTGCATTTGCGTAGTTTGTTGATCTCCTCACAGACCATGTCGGAGATATCCTGGGCGGTGGAGGAGGAGGAG